CCAGCCTCCCAGGCCGGTTCCTGTGGCAAATTACCCCCACTCACCTGTTCCAGGGAACCCCACGCCCCCCATGACCCCCGGGAGCAGCATCCCCCCATACCTGTCCCCCAGCCAAGACGTTAAACCCCCCTTCCCACCTGACATCAAGCCAAATATGAGCGCTCTGCCGCCACCCCCAGGTGAGCGCCCTGCTCTCTCCTTCCCTCCTCCCTCCCTCGTCAAGCCACCTCCACCTGCCTCCACGTCCCCCATACACAGTGTGCCAGGAGTCAGCGGGCTTGGAAGTCTGCCTGCCTGCCTGCCTGCCTGCCTGCCTGCCTCTGGGGGCTGGGCGCGGGAAAGAGCGGGGTGGCGGGGGGGTGTGAGAGCAGGCCTCCTTACCACCTGCCTGAGCGGCTGGAGGCTGGGAGGGAAAGCAACTCTCAGCTGTGGCAAAGGGCTGGGAGGAGAAGCCAGCCGGGGCTTCCAGAGCAGGGGGCGGGTGCAGAGCTGGGGGATGAGTGGGAAGCGGGAGGCAGGGATGGTCAGGATGGGGTCGGAGGGACCAGAAGAAGCCAGGGGCTGCCTGGTGTGCCCTTGAGCACACAGCCCAGCTGCCGTGGCCCTGTTCACACACGCGCCCAGAGCATGCAGCCAAGGGTGCGTGTCGTGTGCCACCGGGGCGAGGGCCGTGCGGCTCACCTGCTCCTCCCCCGCGCAGCCAGCCACAATGACGAGCTGCGGCTCACGTTCCCCGTGCGGGACGGCGTGGTGCTGGAGCCCTTCCGCCTGGAGCACAACCTGGCCGTCAGCAACCACGTCTTTCACCTGAGGCCCACAGTCCACCAGACGCTGATGTGGAGGTGAGCGTCAGGGCACAGCACAGCCCGAGCCGGGTGGAGGTGGCCCCGGTGCTGACATTCCTGGGCCCTGGCATCGCCTGAGACACGTGTCAACAGCATCTGCTTGACACCGTCACCTGCTGAGCATTGCTGACTGGGCCCTGCTGTGTGCAAGGCCCTGGGGGTGTCAAAGCGGGGAGACAGACAAATCTGCCTTGGCTTCGTGGCCTGAGGGTAGGGAGCTGCTGTCACTCACCCCAGTCCTGATCAACAGTGGTCAAGAACAAATTCCCAGAGGAAGACGTGGCTATAGCTCAGGCTGAGAAGGAGGATGTTCCAGCAGGGCCCCCGAGTTGGCCCCGAACGTGGCTCATGTGGTCAGAGCCAGGAATATAGAGAGAGGAACGGGAACAGGGCCGGGTCCTTCCTGCAGCTGGCCACCGGGCGGGGCTGCTGCTCAAACAGTGGGCGCTGGAGTGAGGGGTCTGGAGGCCCCCTGCTGGGCCAGGCTCTGTGTTCTGAGCCTCCTATACCTGATCTCTTTTGATCTTATGAGTGGGCATTGCTTGCCCCATTACAGTGAGGAAACTGAGGCCAGAGAAGTGATTAGCTTGGATGAGTCCTCGCAGCTAGCAAGGGGCAGAGCTGGGACTCGGGCCCAGGTCTCTCAGACACCAGAACGCATTGGTGTCTCCACCCTCGGTTCCTCCTCCGCGGGCAGGACTCACACTGCCTCGCGGTGTCAGTGACCAAAGGCCTCAGCTGCCCAGTGAGCACCCTGAGGGCACGAGATGTGTCTGAGCTGGGCACGTGCACACACGCCACTGTGCGCGCGCAGCTGGCCCGTTGCCTTGAGCAGGCCAGAGGCAGCTGGGGTGGGCAGGAGGGCACGGGAGTGCACTCAGGCAAAAGGGTAGAGGGACCCCCATGCAGGGGCCCTGCTCACCCACTGCTCCTTAGCCGTGAGTACCGTCGCCTGCGAGACCTTCTGTGGCTCGGCCACTGGCCCTGCTGGCTTTGTGGGGACTCCTTCAGTGCCGTGTCCTTGGCCCACCGCAGGGGTAGGGGGCCGGGAACTGAACCAGGCAGGCCCTAGCCTGGGGTGCTTCTCCCACAGGAGCTCAGGGCATAATCAGCCTTCCAGCTGGCCTCGTTGAGTTAGCGTCTGTCCGTCTGTCTCTGTCCTGGGGGAACAGGAGGCGCACTTCCATGCAGGGGACTGAGGCAGATTGTGGTCAGAGCTGTGGGGCTGTGGTTGAGCAGTATATGGGAGTCATGGGGGGCATTTGGGTTGTTGGGATGGGTTTTGATGGGAGGCCTGGGCAGGGGGAGCATCCAGGGTGAGAGAGGAGAGCCCGAGGCAGCTGGGGGAGCCTTCGCGGCTGAGGACAGGGTGCTGAGTGACTCGGTGGGGGGCTCTGGTGAGGGCGGGGTCATGGAGGCCATGGGCAGCCCCCTCGCAGAGCCGCCCTGAGCCTCGCCCCGCCCCCAGGTCTGACCTGGAGCTGCAGTTCAAGTGCTACCACCACGAGGACCGGCAGATGAACACCAACTGGCCAGCCTCGGTGCAGGTCAGCGTGAACGCCACGCCCCTCACCATCGAGCGCGGCGACAACAAGACATCCCACAAGCCCCTGCACCTCAAGCACGTGTGCCAGCCGGGCCGCAACACCATCCAGATCACCGTCACCGCCTGCTGCTGCGTGAGTGTGCGGGTGGGCCCGAGATCCCCAGCCTCCTCTGGGCCTCAGCTGCATCAGGGGTCTCCATCCCCCTTCCCCAGGAGTGATCTTTCAGGAGTACCCCAGAAACATGCCACAGTCCCCCCCAGGGCCGTGGGGTGAAATTCAAGCCGCCATGCTCTGGTCCGAGGCCTGGCCTTTTCTCCTACCGCAGCCTCCATCTGGTCTACACACTCCCCTCCCTTTGCTCGTGTAGATCCTCCTCCCGGACACCACCCCCCATGCCCACCACCTTCTTCCACTGAGGAAGTTCTGAGTGTCCCTCAAAGCTAGGTTCCGTTCGTGCCTCATTTGCAAGAAATTTTTATCTTCTAATCACTTTTTCACCTGAGAACCAACTCCACCAAGTCTGGAGTCAATTCCTTCCCTTTGTCACCCAACCATGCTGTCTCAGAACTGTGTATGTGTGTGCCCTGACCTGTGACTCACTGATCTGGGACCACGTCTGAGCCACACTCCTGTCCCCCAAGATCAGGGCCTGACACTCAGGGCTTGTCCAGGGATTTGCAGAGTACCTGCCCCACTCTGCTGGCCTCCCTGGAGGAGAAGGAAGAGCTCTGATCCTGCCCTTATGAGGGTTGGGGGGGCCACGACCACCCGGGGATAAGAGTCACAGGACTGGGGATGCTGTCAGAGTGAGGAGCCTGCGGGGGCTTGTTGGGGGTTGCAGTCCTGGAAGGCTTCCTGGAGGAGTGAAGACAGGACAGCATCCTCTGGCGGGAAGGGTGGAGGAGGCATGATGGGGAACAGCGGGGCGAGGGGCAGGAGGGCCAAGGCTAGGAAGTGAGTTTGGCCCAGATCTTGATGCCTTGTGTCCCATAACCACATCCCAGGGGTATATCAGCATCAGAGTCAGCCTTGTTGGCATAGACAGCAGCAGCTGCCCCCGGGTAGTGACCCCGGTCTGGATCCCCAGCTCGCAGGTCCCAGGACACATCCTGGGCCTCAAGGGCTCTCTCCCGGGTCCCAGGGGACCCTCTCCTAACGGGGCATCACCATGGATGTGGGGCCCTTTCCTGCGCTTAGCCTCTGGGGTGAGGGGGGCGGCCTAGGCCTGCGGAGGCCCAGGTGGCAGGCGTGGGGGCCAAGCGGCAGGGACCGAGCCTCTGCTCTTTCTCGGCAGTCCCACCTCTTCGTGCTGCAGCTGGTCCACCGGCCCTCCGTGCGCTCCGTGCTGCAAGGCCTCCTCAAGAAGCGGCTCCTGCCCGCAGAGCACTGTATCACGAAAAGTGAGTGGGGGCTCAGGGGCTGGAACCAGACCCCAGTCCCACCACGTTCACTGTCCCCTGGGCCTGGCACCACCGGACCCTGAGTGTTCCCTGGCACTAGCCCCTCCCCCTCCAATGCCCCTCCTCTGAGGCTGTGGGGATGATCAGATGAGCACACAGTACCGTGAGTACAGCATGTAGGGCAGATTAAAAGAAGATGCCGTGGTGCAGGTAGGCCAGGCAGGCTTCCTGGAGGAGGTGATCACCTGGAAGGATGGGAGGAACTGGAAGAGGGGGTTCTTCGTCAGGAGAGAAGCACAGGGGTGGATTCCACCTCAACAGCCCAGGCCTAACTCGAGACGGGGGGACTTGGCTCTGACTCCCAGGTGCAGACACTTGGGGGCCGGGGCGGGGGAGGGGGGTGCACCACGCAGGGAGGTACATCACTGCTCCCCCCTTCAAATGTGCTTCTTCACGTCCTGAGCCCTAGAATCTGGCCAGGCCATTACCACATTTGGAGAATTAAGTGCAAAAGTGCCTGTGGGGCTCTCCCACTGACCCAGAAAGTCAGTGAAGTGCCAGACTGGGTTTCTGCAGGGTTTGCAGAAAGTCCTGCCTTCCTAGTGAAGACAGGGCATGAACTGCAGAGACTGGGGGACTGATGTAGCCACCTCCAGGGGCACTTCACACATGTCACATGTAGAGTGTCATTCCAGAGTGCTGGGAGGCCCAGGGCCTCCAGCATGCTGAGCTCCCTTTTGCCCAGGTGGGGGTGCCCTGCACCTGTTCATGAGACCTCCCTGTGCTGGGGGACGTGGAGAATCAGAGTGTGTATCAGCCACTTGAAGGAGTGGGGGGTGTGCAGGACAGCCCTGCCCTCCTTATCCACCTGTGCCTCCACCCTACAGTCAAGCGGAATTTCAGCAGCGTGGCTGCCTCATCAGGCAACACAACCCTCAATGGGGAAGATGGCGTGGAGCAGACAGCCATCAAGGTGTCTCTGAAGTGCCCCATCACATTCCGGCGCATCCAGCTGCCTGCTCGAGGCCACGATTGCAAGCACGTCCAGGTGAGCAGTCCCAGGGAGAGCGTCCTGGAGTCTGGCTGGGATGGCGAGGAGTAGGCAGTGGGATGGGTAGCAGGGCCTGTCTGTAACCCCGGAAGGATGCCATGGCCATCAGGAGCTGATTTCACTGACTCACTCCTGCCATCATTTATCCTCTGAGCATATCTGTGTGCTCAGAGCTAGGTTCCCAGGGGGCTACAGAGCTGGATTTAGACAGTCCCAGCCCTGGCAGATGTCAGATGCCAGCTGGAAATTCTGCACATACGGCCACTACGGCTGATAGGGAACCTGAAAGCAGGGACGCCTCTGCCTGGTTCACTGCTGTGTCCCGAGGCCCTGCCCTGAGCAGGTACTCAGGAAGTGGCTGTGGGATGAGTGACTGTCACAGTTTGGGTGGCTTAATGCAGGCAGCCCAGGTGGGTGGGGTTCACTGGGTGGGGGCTACCGTGGGGCCAGGCCAGCCGCACCCTCAGCCCCACCCTCTCACAATTGGCCCCGAGGGCTTCATAGTGGGTCAGGAGCCTCCCAGCCCCCCCCTAACCCCCATCCCCGGGAAAACAGGGGCAGCAGAGGTCTGGTCGCTTTATTTGTCGCTTTATTTATTTGGACGCACACTGCTGAACTGGATGGGGTGTGTCCTCCATGCCTGGGCCGGGCCAGGGAGAGGGGCTGTCACGGGGCAGGATCGGTGAGAGGTGGCTGCAGGGGAACCAGGAAGGCTTCTCAGAGGCCATGGGTCATCTGGGGCACAGGGATGGTATGAGGAGGGCTGGGCACAGGTGTGCAGGGATTCCACGTGGCCCGAAAGCTGTAAGCACAGCAGAAAATCGGCAAGGTCATCACCCCTCTCAACCCTGGGTCTCCCTCCCTCAACACCTGTCTCCCTCCCTGGTGAGACGTCTTCATGAGGGTCCCGGAGGCAGTGGCATTTGCATTTAAGAGGTTTCTGAGAGCCCTGCTCTCATCTGTCTGTGTCTCCCGGCCTCCGCAGTGCTTTGACTTGGAGTCGTACCTGCAGCTGAATTGCGAGAGAGGGACCTGGAGGTGTCCTGTGTGCAAGTGAGTGATGCCCACCTCAGCATAAGCTGCGTGACCCGGCTCCAGGAGGAGCTGTGGCCCTGCTCTGTGGGGTCCAGCCACCTCCACCTGCCCTAAACACAGATGAGAGAACCCAAGTACAGCAGAGGGGCTCAGATCACGGGGGCTGTGCACAGTCCCTTTGTATCAAGCAGTCACAAGGCTGCCCTCTCCTGTCGGTGCCCCCAAGTAGTAACCAGTGGCAGGGCCCGGGTCTCTTGGACACAGTGGGGAAGAGTGGGCTGTGGCCTCACCCGCTAGGGTCCAGGAGCAAAGGCCAAGCCCCCTTTCTCCTTTTCCAGTAAAACCGCTCTGCTCGAGGGCCTGGAGGTAGATCAGTACATGTGGGGCATCCTGAATGCCATCCAACAGTAAGTGGGCCTCCCCACACTAGGGCAGGGGGTGGGGGAGGAGGGGGGGCACGGGATGCTGACCTGGGTTGCATGAGGTGAGTGTGTGATCACCCCTGATAACCTTGTCCCCTACTGGCCGGCAGACCATTTTCCCACATCCCTCACCTCTCTGCCAATTTAAGGGGTTCTGTACCTGGGGGCAAATGAACTTTCCAGAAAGGACCAAGCTCAGCCAGAGCAGGAAGTTGACATGGCCGTGTCTCGGGTGGAGGCTTTGGGGCCTGCTGCCCGATGCCCAGCCACTTGCTTTTCCTAGTCTCAGTCTCCCCATCTTTCAAAAGTTATAAAAATCCATCACACTTCTGTCCTATGCAGAGCATGGTGGGAATGGGGGCAGAGGGAGCCTGGACGAGGACATCTCAGTGTCTGTCCGAGCTGGAGGCCCTCGTGTCCAAAGCCCGGTACCCCAGAGCCTCAGCTCTGCCCGCTTGCTCCCCCCAGCTCCGAGTTTGAAGAGGTCACCATTGACCCCACATGCAGCTGGCGGCCAGTGCCCATCAAGTCGGACCTCCACATTAAGGATGACCCTGATGGCATCCCGTCCAAGCGGTTCAAGACCATGAGTCCCAGCCAGATGATCATGCCCAATGTCATGGAGATGATCGCAGCCCTGGGCCCCGGCCCGTCCCCCTATCCACTCCCTCCCCCTCCCGGGGGCACCAACTCCAACGACTACAGCAGCCAAGGTGAGTGATGGCCGACAGAGAGGGAAGGAGAAGCCCCAGCAGGGGCCCAGGATTTCTGGGGTGATGGTGGCAGGTGCAGGGAGGGCGTGGTGTGAAGAGGCAGAGGTAACGCACGCCCCCACAAAAACAATACCACGTCGCTGAAATTGGTACGGCGGCCCGTGCGATGCCCTCCTCCCCCACCCCCTTCCACCCAGCCAGCCCTGTGGGTTGGCACCCAGCTGGGAAGGCATGAGTGAGGAGCTGCCCTGCGAGCCAGCCTCCCGCCTCTCGCACCCCCAGCTGCCCAGCCTCCCTCCTGACTCCTGGATCTCCCTGGTCGGCAGCCGCCAAGCTTAGGGGCTTCAGAGCCTGCTTTGCTGGGGGCACTAAGACCACACCCCTCCTGGCGCTCCTGGCCCTCCCGTGTTGCCCTCTGACATCTACGTATTGTCCCTATCCCTGCAACTCTCCCACCCTTCCAGAGACGGGGTCCAGGGGCCTGGAGCCACCAGCCTTGGGCCACCAAGGTCACTGTCACTGCCCCCTCACTTCCTGCTGCCCAGAGCAAGCTGCACCACACTGCCCTCAGTTCCCAGAAAGTACCCCCCCCCGCCCCCCAAACACCGGGCATGGCAGCTCCCCGCAGAACCCCTGCTCTAAGGTTCCTGGGGCTCCTGGATGATTAAAGGCCCAGAGAGGTTAGCCTACCTAGCCAGAGTCCCACAGCATGCTGAGCGTCCCAGCTTTCCAGTGTGCTGATCCTCTGAGCTCTCACCGTGGCCACGTGGTGGAGGAAGCAGCGGCTTGGGAGGCCAGACAGCTGGCTCTGAGGGTGTCATCTCGAATCTGGCACAGCTTTCTTTATGGACTTGGCAGACGCCGACCTCCCGCTCTGGGCCTGGGTGGTCCCAGTGATGAAGGGCAGCCTCATGGGGGCTGTGGGTGAGCAGGTCTGGGGGGCTCACTCAGCAGATCCTGTGGAAAGGTCAGACTCGGGCCTCATTCCATGTGTCCCGCCGCAGGAGCCCGACCACCCTCTCTTCCTACTCTAGCCCTGCTCGTGGCTGTACACCAGCACACGCCCTGGGGTACTAAGGCCCGCAGGAGAAGGCTGCATCGCTGCCCCGCTGTACGGCCCTGAGGTCTAGGGCTGCAGGAGCCGACTCTAGCCTCGCAGGAGGGTGGGCCTTGGTTCCTCCTTTACACTCTGAGTTCCCTGGGGTGGCCGTCTTCCCTCTGGGTCACATCCCTCCCCATCTCGTTCCCTCCCCAGGCAACAGCTACCAGGGCCATGGCAACTTTGACTTCCCCCACGGGAACCCCGGTGGGACGTCCATGAACGACTTCATGCACGGGCCCCCCCAGCTCTCCCACCCCCCGGACATGCCCAACAACATGGCCGCCCTTGAGAAGCCCCTCAGTCACCCCATGCAGGAGACTGTGAGTACCTCTTCCTCGCCGCTGACCCTCCACCTCCCCCGTGCCCCCAGCCCCGGTGCGGGGCTGACGGGGACAGAGGGCTCCCCTGGACCTTTCTCATGTTTGCCTAGTTCCCTACCAGGCAAAGGGGAGGACTGAGAGTTGAGTCTCGGGACCCAAGAGGGCGTGGGAGGCCTGACTGAGGCTGGGTCATGGCCCATCAGTGTCCTTGGACTTGGCCGTTTCACCCAGGACATCAGATTCTCAGATGGGGGAAGCTTCAAGCTCTTACCTGCACATACATTGCATGCATATACACACATGCAGATGCCTGCACACCCCCTACATACAGGCCCACACACCGCCCATACACCCGGCACACGTCCTATACACACCACACACACACAGCCCCATCCCCTTTCTCCCCCTCTTACACACACTGTTAGGCTGACTTACTGTAGCTTCATCCAGCCATCTAGAATTTAGTCCCAGACCCAGGCACTTATTCCCCAGGGGTCTGAATCTTCAGGGTATCACCTCCTCCTGCAAAAAGAAACATTAGGATTTCTACTTATTCCAAGAGTATTCACTTCTCGTCCTGTTTCACGTATTAACACACACTATATTGCCGAGAAAGCCCCTTCGGGTGAGGTGGCCCGTGCTGTCCAGAGGCCTTCCCTTCCTGTGGCGCCGACAGCAGTGGTGGGAGGCCTGGCCGCCTCCCGAGGCCTTATCTAGGCAGCGGTGGATGATTGCACTTGATCTAGCAGACGTTTTCTGAGCCTGGTCTCCCGGCTGTGCCTTGAACCAGGTGTAAGCAAGACAGACACCGGCCTCAAGCTAATGGAGCAAAAATTCTGGCAATGCCTGGATGGAGGAAGAACACTTGGGGTTTTGAGGGAACTGAGGCCCAAGGGCTGAAGACTGAGGCCTCAGTCATTCTTTCTGTCCCTGGTCTCTCATCTTAGCAGGAGGGGCAGTCACTGAGGGCCTGGCAGTGGGTCCTGGGCCACAGCAGCCAGAGAGAAGGGTCCAGGGGTCTCGCCAATGCCTGGCAGTGGAGTTGGGCCTACGCCCGAAGGTACCTCTCCAAGCTCTCCCAGTCTCTATCATGTGGCCTGGAAGGAAGGGGCCTCTGGATTGTACTGTGTTACCCACAGCTGACACGGAGTTGGGAAACATCCAGCACTGGGCCAGGGACTGTCCTGTGCGCCAGAGCCACCAGTTCTCAGCAGGAGTGACTATTAACCAGAAGGACTCTAAATGAGGGGCACTGCAGCAGCTTTCCTGCAGGAACCCAGAATGCCAAGTTGGAAATAGCTGCTCTCACCAGCCTTCAGCCATGTTTTCGCAAGTTACTTTCTGCCCCATGGGGCTTCCAGTTTCGGGGGGCGTCTCTCCTGGCCCCCTTCCCCAGCCCTGCTCCCCAGGACGTCAGCCTTCCATGTCCAGGAATCACCCAGATCACACCCCTGCTCCACATTGATCTGGCACCTTCTGTCTCCTCACAGTTCCCAGCACTGGAAGATGGCAGCAGGGGTGCTGTGTGCTTTCTGCATCCAACAAGGCCTTTTCCTGCCTTGTCAGCCCTGCCACCAGGGTCCTCGCAGAGGGACTTAAGCCCTTGGGTTGACTTCACAGCCCCCCCCCCCCCAGTGTGCTTTCTGCATCCAACAAGGCCTTTTCCTGCCTTGTCAGCCCTGCCACCAGGGTCCTCGCAGAGGGACTTAAGCCCTTGGGTTGACTTCACAGCCCCTCCCCCCCCAGGAAGCTTTTCAGATATGCAGTGTCCTTGTCCGTTTCTGGGCTTTTGTTAGATGGGAACTGGACCCAGAGGTACAGCTGTGCAAGGTGGTGTGGTGCAGTCACAGGTCAACAAACCCACTTGCCCAACCAGAGCAGCCTGACCCGGCCGAGCACGAGGCCAGGAAGGATTCCCAGGCGCACGGACTGGTGGGAGGGCTCCAACCAGGTGCTGGCTCACCCAAGGCTCTCCCGTGCCAGGTGGGAGGCTGACAGGTGTGTCAGCAGGTCCCAGAGAGCACCTCTGGTTCTGAGATAATCCAGCAAGATGTCAGGGCCGAGGGCGTTAGTTGTGTCAGCAGATCTGGGGACTGTCTGGGGCTGGGCTGCTCCAGGAGTGTGGAGCCCCTCCCTGCCCCCCACTTCCCAGAATGGTCGCTGTGGAGCATCACACGCTGGCCTCGCCGACAGCTGTGAGGGCTGTCCCTCCCGCCCCTTCTGGTTCTTCTTACTTTGTGTGCATCCCACAAGTGGTTCCCCCAGGGTCAGCAGCCTTCACGTCACACGGTCATCCCTCGTTCTCAAGGCCCGGGCTGGAGGGGCACTGTGCTGCAGAGGGCCACCTGGACCGTGGGCAGGAGCCAGCCCACAGCAAGGCTTGGGGGGGCAGCTTTTAGGAGAAACAGGAAGAGGAACTGGTGTCTGGAGAAGATACGGGATATGGTGTCACCGCCGTTTGCAAACCCACGAAAGGAGTGTCTGTTTCTGTGTGGCCCAGAAGACAGGGCTGGGAGGAGGGTACTGCCCAAGGAGACATTTGGTCACCTGGCTGCCCATTCCAAGTGAGAGGCCTGGCCAGTCAGTGAGCTCCCTTCCCTCGCAGAGTGTGAGGGGGGGCCCGGGGACCGTTGGGGATGCCGGGGGTGGGGGCCCCGACTTAGACTTGGCCTTTCACTCCGAGACCTGAACTCTGAAGGCAGGGCGGCTTGAGGCAGCAAACAGACCTACAGGGGAAGTTTAAGTCCCACCCACTCGTGTCCCCTGCCCACCCATAGCCCCGACGGTTCGGTACACGCGCAGGGGCGGTGGGGGGGGGGGGGGCTACGAGAGAAGCACGCCTGTTGCTGCCTAGGTGGGTGGCCAGCAGGAGGGTCTGGCAGGAGTCAGAAGCCCCAGGTCGCCTCCTTTACTTTGGGCACAGCTCCGTCCTACCCCGGGACAGCAGGCAGAGCTTACACCGAGGCCCCGCTGCCCCCGGAGCCGGCGTGCCTAGTGTCACCCCCGGGCCAGGGCCCGCGTGGAGGCGCAGACCCCCGTGAGCTGCACGCCTGCCCCATGCTGTCGTCCGTGTCTGCTCCCCGCCTCCCCGGCTCGGGCCTGCACCACGCCGCCAGCAGCACTCCCGCCCGCCTCCCTGCTCCCCGGAAACATGCCCATTTCGCTTCTCCATCCCGCCCTTGCTGTTGCTCATTGTGCTGGTGTCCGGGCTAGGGAGACAGAGGGGCTCCCAGGGGCCTGGGCCCCGATCTCAGGGTCTCTGCTAGTCTCAGAGCCCCTGGCCGCCTCCCTCCCTGCCCCACGTGGCTTCAGCCTCCCTGACTGGCGGTTTTGAGGGGGAGGACTTGTTTGCTTGTTTGTTTGTTTCTCTGCAGGAAAGAAAAAAAAAAAAAAAAGCATTCAGCTTTGTAGAGGGGGGGCTTTGTTTTGGGGGTTTTGTTATTTTCCTGGTTTTGTTTGGTTTTCATTTCTCCAGGCATCTCGTCGCTGTACCTCGTCACCTCACCTTTCTTTTTCCTGCTCTCTCCTCCTCCACAGATGCCACACGCTGGCAGTTCTGACCAGCCCCATCCCTCCATGCAACAAGGTTTGCACGTCCCACACCCCAGCAGCCAGTCAGGGCCTCCATTACATCACAGTGGGGCTCCTCCTCCTTCCCAGCCTCCCCGGCAACCGCCACAGGCCGCTCCCGGCAACCATCCACACAGTGACCTGACCTTTAACCCCTCCTCAGCCTTAGAGGGTCAGGCCGGAGCGCAGGGAGCGTCCGACATGCCGGAGCCTTCGCTGGATGTAAGTTGGGGTCACCACGTGTCTTGGCCTGGGGCCGGGACTGCCCGAGAGCAGGGGCGGGTGTCGAGGGCCCGAGGCCCGGGGTGGAGAGGTAGAGCGGTGAGGAGCGGGTGGGCGGGCGGAGGGTGGGCCCCGCCAGCCTGCCTCCCCTGTGGCTCCAGGACCGGGGAACCCCGCAGTGGGCAAGCCTCAGCGAGGGTGCCACACCCCTTGCCCCACCCTGCTGGCCCTGCCCCCGTCCCCTTGGCCACAGTCCTACCGCCCGGCCCTGCCCTCCCCCCCACCAGGCCCTCACAGAGTCCCTGTGGGCCGGTCCTGGAGGCAGCACAGGAGGGCCCACCCCTGCCTTCTTCCCACCTCCCGTCCGTCCCCGACACCGTCCCCGACACCGGCTTTGCCATCGCCGCATCTGCCACTCTCTGGCCCAAGGCAGGGGAGGGGCTGGAGGGACAGGTCCCTCTGTCTGTCTCGCTGGTGTGTGTCTCCAGTTTCTAGTCTGTGTGTTGTCCATGCCCTGTGCTTTTGCTCACTCCATCGCTCACTCTGAGAGGCCCCCACGTGGGGTGACAGAAGGATCGGCCTCGGGTCACACTGGGGGGCGGGGGCGGGGGGCGTCGTGTGACTGAGGCAGAAGCGGGCAGCTGAGATTCAGGGATCACCCCCCCTTGAGAACTGAGTAGTCTGGAAGGTGGGCAAGGGGGACACTGAATGATGGGTGTTGGGTAGCTGGGCAGGGCTGCCAGCGAGGGACACGGCCCTTGCCCCTCCCACCCCTCGCCCCCAGGCTCTAGATTCCCAGAGAGGAGGCCTGCCCTCTCCTCGGTCACGTCCCAGCCCCAGCGAGAGTCACCCTTGGCCCCAGCAAGAGTCTCTGGTGAATGGGATTCACTCAGCTTTGGGGCCCTCTTGGATTCTTGCCCGACTCTCCTCTCCAGACCAGGCCAGGGCAGGTGCTTTTAGATTGATGAGGGTCCCCTGTGTGACCGAAAGAGTCCAAGGACCTCACAGTAGAGGGTGGGGATGCTCTGTAGCCTCTTCCCGGAGTCCACAGGGAAGAGCAGTGCTGCCAGCTAGCCGCGGGCTCAGCAAGGAGCCGGGAGCTCTTGGGGGCGGTGTGGGGTGCTGGGAGCCGCAGAGACCCGCCAGCCTTACATGCAAAGCCACATGGCTTCTCCTGGGAGGCATGGGTGACCCCCAGCCCCTTGTGGCAGGGTCTAAGGAACACTGTGCGTGAGGAGCCTTCCCAGCTGGTGGGCTGAGGGCTCCACTCTTCCAGACTTGAAATAAGCACGGGTGTGCCCCAGACTAGCACGGTGGCCTGGGTGCATCCGGGGACCACCGGCACTGTTAGTTTCCCCTGTTTGGACCAGGGCCCCAGGAGGCAGGTAGAGGGCAAGCGAACAGGCCCGAGGTTGCCCTGCTTCCTCGCGCTGGGCCGGCCCGGCCTTCAGCCGACACCTCATCTGAGCTTCTGTGCTTCTTTTCCAGCTCCTTCCAGAACTCACAAACCCTGATGAGCTCCTCTCGTACCTGGATCCCCCCGACCTGCCGAGCAATAGTAATGATGACCTCCTGTCTCTCTTTGAGAACAACTGAAGCCCACCCCTCCGTCGGGGCCACCCCTCCCCACGCGGCCTCCTTCCCCATCTGCCCCGCACACTTTCCCGCCGCGAGCCCGTGCCCTCGGACCGCCCCTGCTGCGGCCTTCAGAGCCTAGGGGCGGGAGGGTGCACTGTGAAGGCGGTGCAGGTCTGGAGCCCACGCCCAGAGCAGGCCCCAAAGATGACCCTCGAGACAGGGCGCTGGCCCAGGGAGGGGGCACACACTGACGGCGGCTTCCAAATGACCCTCCAGTGCCCCCCAGGTTCTTCCAGTTTGTAAACTGTAACCCGGCCTCCCTGCTTCCTGGCCCAGAGCCGCCTCCACGTGACTGTGAACCTGAGGGAGGGGCCCCCGTATCCCAGCGGCCCCGAGCCTTGGAGGAGCAGCAGAGGTTGGTGGCAGTGAGAGCGGCCTGCCCACCACCACTACCACCCACCACAGAAAAGCACAAACCTCTGGGAAAGAGAACTCTCAGGGGCCAAGGTTATCGCTTTGACCCCAGACCTCTAAGCCAGGATACCCTGTAAACACTCTCAGAGAGCAGAGAAAAAAAGACAAGAGTCTGTGTTTGGGAGACGGTGAGCCATTTCTGCTTGGGGACTGGTGGAAAAGGGAGTCAAGGCCTCCTCAGAGCCAGGATGGCTCCACAACCTCTGACTCAGGCCAGGGCCCAGCCTTAGGGGGCCCAGAGAGAGAGAGAACCCAGCTGAAGTTATTGTGCCCTTAGTTGGGGAAGGGGGGGCGGGTGCCGCCAGCTGGATTTGGAGTCCAACAGAAATGGCCAACTTACAACTTTGCTCCAAGCCGCCCCCTCTTCTTAAACGACAGCATCTTAAAGCTGCAAAGTCGTCTGGGGAAAAGGAACACTGGACTTGGACAGCGAGCGCCCCATTTCTCTCCATGCGTCCTGTTTCCTTCCTCTGCTCCCCCCCCCCCCCCCCCCCTCCTCTCCCTGACTCCTGGGTTCCTCTCATTAGGAGACGGTCCCAGTGTCCCTATGCCTACCCAGACGGCATGGTGAGTGGTGGAAAGGCAGGGGATGCAGGGGCTCAGCAGCAGGAACCCGGGGCATCACTCTCTCTCCGGCTCCTCTGTCTGATCTGGCCTGTCCCTGTGCTCGAGGCTGCCCCCCCCCCCCCCCGGCTCCAGCCCAGTCTGTCGCCGCGTGTGCCAGGATGTGCCGTCGAGCGTCGCGTGGTGTTTCTGTGGCTGTCTCAGACCCCGCGCTTGGCTGCCACCCTCTCCTTCTCTCCATGTCCCTCTGGCCTCGAAAGCTCACCCCACACTCCTGCTCCAGCAGAAGCAGCCTCTGGTTTTCCCTCCACGCTTCGCTCCATCCAGCTAACTGCTCGCTCTCGGAGTCTGCCGGGTAGCTTCTTGTGAGTCCATTTTGTTCCAGGCTCCCTTGTGCTCCCCGAGCCGCATGGCCGGTGATGCTGGGCCGTTGGGTCACTTGCGTCCCCTCTGTAAATTCATCGCGCCCCTCCCCTGCTGCTGCCCGAGGCCCTCACCTGCTCCCCCATCCACTGTCTGTGTTCTCAGTCTCTGTCTCCCTCTCTGTTGGGGGTTGGGGGAACACCCCCAGCACTCCTCTGGATGTGACCGGAACGTTGACCCCAGCTGTTGACTTCCAGTCGCTGTGCCAGACGGCCCGGCACAAGGTTTTCTGTAGGGAAGCTGCCATCGTCCCATCCCCACCCCTTTTCCTTTGTCCCGTTGTCAGAGGTTTTTTCAAACAGCGTGGTGTTCCGTATACAAATCAATTATTTTAAGAATTGCTTTTGTAAATACCTTTGTGAATATTTTAGTATTGTCTTTGATAATATTCAACATTTTCATGACCTGGTTATAGCCTTTGCTGGTGTTTTTAAAATACCTTGACTCAACGACAAAGACCGAGTCCCTTTTTTAAGAAAAACAACAAACAAAAACAAAAAAGCAACCAGGGCCATTTGTACAGAAGAAGGGACTGAGAGCATGGGTGGCTGTACAGTGAGTTAGAAGACCAGGCCACCCGCCGTTTGGAGCCATCCCTAGTTGGCTGGTGGGGACAAGACGACGCCAGGTAGCATGTGGCCGTCTCTGCCCAGTGGCCAGTAGCCCCAGCTGTGTCAGGCCATCTGGGAATGTTCTGCCCCAGACAGATTTACAGATGCCTTCCTTAGAAGTTCCCACTTCCTGCTGTGCAACTTTTTCTCAGAAAGGCCTGGGGTCCGTTCTGGTTGTTATCGGGGTGTCCCCCTCTGCTCACTGACCTATCCACAGCTTTCTAGCACAGAGGGTCAATCTCTTCCCCACAGCCCAGGCTCCAGGCACCTGCCTCAGCCATCTCTGAGGAAGCCATGGGCTCGGCACCTGAGGCAGGTTTCCTGGGTCCCCTGCCAAGCGAGCCTCCACCAGCAAGTTCAGCAAAGAGCTTTCCAGAACCGTGGTGCCTGCAGCCCGCGCTCTGGGCGTGTACTCTTCCAGAGCGGTTTTGGAGCCAGGTCGGGGGGTGGGGGGAGGCATCAAGGCGTCCGGGGCTGTGGCGAGCCCCAGTTGGTGACACATTCAGGTGATGACAGCCTCCCCAAGCAGGGGCGGTTCTGAACTCTGGGGAGATGCTTCCCTGATCCTTTCGGATGACTACTTGGAGCCATAAGTAACCTCAGCAAAAACAATGCCTCAGCAAGCCACTTCTCCATGACAAGCATCCACCCAGCCCATAGGCATGTTTCTGTCTCCACTCCACAGAATGGACAGGGCGCTGGTGGGCAGGTGGGAAGGCCCAAGTACAAGCAATCACCCCCATCTTCTTGGTTTGAAGCTTTACCCATGTATCATGTTCCTGTAGCCATTTTTATTTTCTAAGAAACTTCTCATACTTTCTCCGTAATGGAAGCCCTGAACCCCCAGAGAGCTACACGTCTGCTCCCTCGGCCTGACCCATCCAGACAGGGCGACGTGGGCAGCAGCCACTCAAGGGACGTGTGTACATATGTAAATGAGAAATAGAGACATGTTAACAGATGCGTTCATTTCCCTCGGAATGTGTATTGTTTTTATTTTCCGGAACAAAACAAAACAAAACAAAAAGGCTTGGAACTCCATCTTCACGTGGAAAAACTAGATCCTGTCTGTTAGCGTCTGTGAGGTCTTCTCTCCGCATCTGTCTCACTCATGTAATATACTCTGACTCTGTGTAGAAAGGAGTTTTTTTTGTTCCGTTTTGTTTTTACTCTACCTACATGTACTATTTAGCTTCAGTGTACTAGTCCTGCCACCTGTGTATTTTTAGGGTGCTATGGAAATAATGAAAAGAAATGGGGATTTCAGAAGAAAATTGTAACCAAATTCATACTTTGTATAATTTTTGATATCATGATCGCAGGTGATTTCACACGTACACACACATGAACACACCCACCGTGCAGCCTGAAGTAACTCCCACTGCGACTGTCATCGTCTCTGTACATCTCTGTACAATGCAATCATTTCATACTTTAAACTGGTCAGAAAACTAATTGTGATTTCTAGTCTTGCAAAGCTGTATGTAGTTAGATGATGTGACAACCTCTAATATTTATCTAATAAATATGTATTCAGATGAAACCTGTATATTAGGTGTTCATGTGGTTCTTTTGTATTTAAAGATCAAATTATTTGACTATTGCTAGACATTTCTATACTCTGTTGTAACACTGAGGTATCTCATTTGCCCATGTTAATTTTTTTCTAAATAAATGGACAAAAATGAAGGTTCGGCCCACTAGCGATTTTGTGAATGTTAAGGGGCGGTTTGGGTGTTTTCTGATTTTGCTTTGCAGCACCACCCCTGCCCGATCACCCTGCAAAACAAAACAAAACAAAAACTGCAGTCGGGTGCTTCGGGTGCTAAGGTGGAGGAGCCCCTGACACGGGTCCCGGAAGTGGCCCTGGAACCTGGCTCAGGTGAATGTTCAGAGCCCAGTGTCCTCACCTCCTGGTGGACCCCGTCTCCAGCAGGCCCTGGTCCTGGGGAGGGGGCCCTGAACGGTGCCAGGCCCTATATGGGGTGCTGGAGACTCAGACCCAGTGTGACTCGGGGCGGGTGTACGATGCTGGCCGGGCTCAGGTGGCGAGCCCTTGTGGATTCTCTGGACTTAGGAACAGGTACCTTGTCAAGTTAGTACAGACGCTTTCCTGTTGGCCACCTCTCTCTGGCCACCCCACTTCTCAGCACCCCTGCACCCCTCCCCTTGAAGGGGACCTTGGGTCTCCTCTTGCCCATGACTGCAATTTACATAGGTTACTTTGCCACAGCCCCTGCCCAGGCTCTGGTTCTAACTGTCTTTACAGCCTCAGGCACACAAACGACTGCCCTTCCTTGTCCCCTCCTGAACTTTGGGGAAGTGAATATGATTCTCAGGGCCCAGCAGCCAACCACCGTCCCCCGCTTTACTCAGCTCTGGCCTCGGGCCATAGGACAGAAGCAAATGTGGCTGTTGTAGCCTTCCCTCCGCAGAGACTGGGTAAGGACAAGTCCAAAGAAGGAAGTGAGGTCTGGCAGGCACCCCAAAATATATCCCCTGGAATATGTGCATGTGGCGGTGGGAGCGGGGTGTCATCAGCCACGGGACGGCCCATGGAGAATAGGGGGCCTTCTCTGGGGTGGCCAGTTTCTCTTCTTGGGGGCAGATGGAAGGGGAGGGGGGAAGGAGAATTTACATTAAAAATGGAATCTCGTGGCCACTGCCTTCTGCCGGCAAGAGGTGTTTTCTCTGAGAACAGACACTCCTGGAAGAGGGCTGAGTAGCATCAATGACAGCTTCCCAAAGGGGCCCCCAGCTCCCCACTGCCTTGGAGCAATGCTTCCCTGTGGCCTCACTGAGTGTGGCCCATGAAATCAGTTTGGCGGGTTGTGACCAGCACTTTTTAAAGAAAGAGATGAGAGTAAAGTAGAAAATATCAAGGGCACCCTACAAAGTAAAGGGTGAGGATGCTGTCGTGAAAGTTTTGTTGCAGTGGTGTGTGTG